TTATATGAATGCTTTTTAAGTAACAATTTTAATCATTCATTGTTCTTGACTGCTTGCAAAATACTACTGACATTCTATAATTTTTAACTTCTCATACAACACTTTTACAGCAGTTGAAGGTAATTAATAGTGATCCATCATTATCAGACTCTCATTCAAAATACTATATAACGAAGCTACACAGTCAGCCATTCGAAACTGATTGAAAATCTGGAAAATATAGGTTTTAGAGGAAGAAGCTATGATTTACTACTCTCATACTTAACAGATAGAAAACAATCTGTGATTATTGATAATATAGTCAGTGAAACTAATAATGTGGTATATGGCGTTCCACAAGGGACCGTACTGGGGCCAATTTTATTTAGCATATACTTTAATAACTTATTTTCTATAAATACTAATGGCAACATTATCAGTTTTGCTGACGATACTGCAATTGTTTATGAAAGCACTGACTGGGTATCTTTGAAATTATTAGTTGAAAGTGACTTGCCTCATATATTTCACTGGTTTCAGCAACACTTACTTACGGTAAATTTCAGTAAGACATTCTTTGTTCCCTTTTCATCATACGCTAATGCTTTACCAAACTATAACAAAATCGAAATTAAAGTCAACAATATTGGAATAGAAATTAAAGCAGTCTCTAATATCAAATACTTGGGAATATATATAGACAATCATTTAAAATGGGATATTCATATCAACTTTGTTACTAAAAAGTTAAGAATGTTACTGCATACATTCAAATTCTTGTCAGAAATATTAAAATGGAATGAGTTAAGAATATTATATTATGCTCTTGCTGAAACCCATATAACTTACTCAATTATTGCTTGGGGCGGTGCACTTGATTGTCACATAAATAAATTAAATATTACGCAAAAATGGCTTATAAAGATTTTAATGAAAAAACCATATGCCTACTCGACAGAGCAGCTCTTCGAAGAGAGTCAGTTCTTTGATGTTAGACAACTTTTCTGTCAAAATCTTCTTATGCGACAGCATTATAATAAAAATGAGCTGAAAAAAAAAGAATACCATTACAATACTCGTTCTAGGCTCCATACTTTTATCTTACCTAAAGTCGATAAATCAAATACCCAGAGAAGTTTTTGGTACATGGGTCCAAAATTATATAACAGACTACCTACAGAAATAAAAATTATTAATTCGAAAAGACTGTACAAGAAAAAGATAAAAAAATGGATACTACAACACTCTCGACTAACGATACATGAAATGATTGAAAATTACTTTATTTAAAAAAAAATAAATAAATATAAAAAAAATTATATACTCATCTTAAGATCCTCAAAAAAAAAAAAAACACACTTGAACTAAAATTAAAATTTTGTCAGTTGTATATTGACGGACTACAGACAGGTTTTCCTTGTGGAATGTTAGTATCACAGCTGATAAATAAATATTATAACAAAAAATTCATATTTTTATAAAATTTTGTTTAAGAGGTGCATTAATTATATTGTTTTGTTTGATTATATTATTTGTATCACATACAAGTGGTTTCACTACTTTTGTGATAATTTATGTTTATTCGCCCTTTGTATTTATATTTATATTTTTATGTAATTGTATATATATATTTTTTAAAGATGAATAAACATTATTATTATTATTATTATTATTACATACTCCTTACGTCTATTTAGTTTTTTGTCATTTTGTATATAGAAATAAAAAAAATAATCAGCATTAACTCACTATATTTATTTTGAAAATCAACTTGTAGACATAACCTAAAACCTAAATAGTTATTTAAAAGGCTAATGGCAACACAGCAACAAGGTATACCAACTGCAATAACATTTCGTTTATATAAATACGAGTTTCATTGGCGTACAGAATGTCAAAATAATTTAATTTAAAGTATGGTTTTTGGGATACTAATCATGTAATAATATTAATATAAATTTGATATTATCAGGAATAGAACGTGTATAAGCAAATAATTGAAATAATTCTAAAATTATCAAAATAATCACAATTACATTTTTCGGTTTTTTAGTAATATGATTACGTTCATGAATGCTCGTAAATATTTGTGACATTTTCGGACTATTAGCTTAGTTAGGGATATTTTAATTAGGTGACGAATGACCGACGCCATTAATGACCTGCAACAGGATTTGTATTAAAAATATTATATAATAAAACTCCCTAATTAATCTCCTTTTGAGTGAATTTTTCTTTTGAAGCTGATTGAGCTTAAGTGAGGAAGGAGGCTATTATGATTACTTGCAAACTAAACAAATATCTTGATTTTGTATATGTCATTTTTAAAATATTCTGTTCATACTTGAGTATCGCTCCATCTATTAATAAATAAAGAAATTATGTTCGTTATTAAGTTTTGACAACCAATTGATGGTTCAGTAGAAAAGACAAAATTATCAAAGACATGACTTGGAAATGATGTCCATTATGTCCATTATACTTCAATATAATTTGCATTGAGATTGTTCTACTAAACTATCTAAATACAATGCATCAACTAAAAATCTTTTGTGAATGACATACTATTTCAATTTCAAACTGTCTGCTAATTTATTGTTGCTTGAGTTACCTATCTAAATTATACTTATACTATTAATGTCACTCGCGCAAATTATTTTAGATGTTGCAGAATTGTGCCTCACACCACAGTATCTGTTCTGCAATTTATGTTTATTCATTGCAACATCTACATTTAAAAACAATCGATCGAATACAATATAAAGCTATAAGAATTTGCATCAGCGCAATGAATTCATCTCCATGCTTTGCAATGCTTGCTGAAGCACAAGAACCGCCCTTAAATTTAAGAAGAACTTTCTTAGCTAATAAATTAGTAATAAAATACAGAACATTTAACACGTACCTTGATCAATCTATCTCTCAATTATGTATAGATAATTTGGTTAATACCTACTGGATATCAAAAAAATATCCTTTACTAGCAGATGCATTCGCTAATACCAGTCTATTCAGTAAATACTACAAACAAGCTTCAAAATATCCACTCTATGACCAACACTTTGAGGTCACTGCAACCAAGTTCACAGCATTATATCCTTCATATTCAAATCTTAGTGTTATTAATAATACCCTCGTTTCATCCATACTAAGTCGCTTTACTAATACAATTCAAATATTTACAGACGGTTCGAAGTCTGAAACCGGGACAGGTTATGCTTTTTACGTCCCAATTTTCAACTATATGCAGAAAAGTCGAATCCCGGACTATTGGTCAATTTTTACTGCTGAAGCCTAAGCAATTGAATCTTCACTTGAGTGGTGTCTTAGTGAAAAAATAAACAAAGCTGTTATTATGTCAGATTCTAAATCTGTTCTACAATCATTGGAAAGTCATGCCACAAAAAAATATAATCACCACTTAATAATAAATATTAGATCCTTATTGTGCAACTTAAGTAAAAAAAATATTAAAGTAGATTTCATTTGGACCAAAGGACATGTAGGAATACGAGGGAATGAAATTGTCGATTCGGCGGCGAAACAAGCTACTCTCCTTATTGAAATAGAGGATGTATTTGCGTACGATGATATAATCAATTTCTTTAAATCCCAAATGAGTACAGATTGGAAAAATTTATGGAATGTCTACGTATCAACTTCCAACAATCATTACGTTGATATACACCCTACACTGTCAACAAAAATTGATCACATTTTTTTGTACAATATTAGTAGGTCATATTCCACAACAATAACACAAATGAAACTAAACCACGGGTGTTTCCCCGCACACCTCTTTAGAATCGGTATCAATGAGACCCCTACATGTGAGTGTGATAACTTAACAGTCGGTGACTTGAATCATATATTTTTCAACTGTTCCAAACACAAGAACAATTCCGACAAATTCATGAAAAAACTAGTTTCACTAAAAGTAAATATCCCAACTTATATCAGTACTTTACTAAGTACTTTTAATAAATATATATATGACGAAATAAATTGTTTCCTTAAGAAATCAAATATCAATCAACATATAATTACTTATTTTTAAAATCCCAAAAAAATATCTGTGGCTAATAGACTTAGTCTGAAGCCAACACCCCTCCTACACACACACACAACATCTACAGTTCTCAACGGGTTTTTTTGACTCATCTTTAAAGAATGAAAGATTTTCCATTTTCTCAAATGTGAATAATGAATTAGAAATAAAATTCAAAATAAATAACACAAAAATATTTATTATGAATTAGAATGTCGCAACTAGTTTATCATGTATCTTTAATAACGAAAGGCCCAGTAATATCGATACCTTTTTGCCAGACTATCGTAAGTGCCATTTGAACAAATGTCGCTTACATTAGTCTGGCAAAAAGGTATCAATATATTTAATACCGTATTTTACTGCCAATCCAAAGGTAGTTCATTATTTTCAGTAGTAATTGAGCTATAGTAATAGCAGCTGAATCCAAGGCACAGGCAAGGCACAGGGTGCTATACAATGGCATCTTACTTAGTATTATTTAAGTATTATAATTTATTTTAAAAATCAGTAAGTATTAGATAATCAGAATACAGTCTCAAGTTATTTATTTTAATATCAACAAGAATAATAGGTTCTCAAACTGATAAGATTTTGGAATCTTTGTATCTGAATTATCTCTCAAATGTATTTAATTTTCTAATTTTTTTCTGTTTTCTGTCTTTATTAAACCATGTTAAATAATTATAACCAAATCTTAGAGGTAAACCATGACTGTGACTGTCCTGTCTTGTTATTAATAAATGTTTCTGTTACCTACATACATTCAACCTGCTTTAATACTTTGTCAAGGAAATTTTAATTAAAACTTGTTATGTTATACCTATTTCTACTTTATCTTAAGTTTAAAATTTTTATATAATTGTTTGATGTTAAATAATTATATAATTAATGATAATAAACAAATAATCGGAACTGCACATACTTACCTACTCATTATTAAAAAAAAAACATTTAAATGGCAAAGTAAAAATCAAAAACTAAAAAATTCATGAACCTGGTGACTTTCTACCAATCTAGCTAAATCTGGTTCAATATTGGTGAGTTGCAGCCTTAAATATCCGCGTTCGTTGATTTCCAACCAGTTTCTTCGTTTTGTCAAAATGTTTGTAACCACACTGTAGCCTTTTTCGACTAGGTATAATAATGGAAAAGCGATAAGATATGTTTCAGCAATGTTCCACAATACAACATATGGTGTTTCAATGTTGCGCTGCAACCAGAACTTCTGATAGCCTTGGTTAAACTTCTGCTTAAGCTCCTCGTCTGTGCTAATGATCAACTCTTTTTGTATTATCACATTGGCTTCTTCCATGGCTGTGATATTGTATGCATTTATTATCCATTAAGAAATTTGTAAATTTAAGAGATCCTCAAACCTCTCAGTAAAATCCTTGTGTAACGCGTCCAAGTGAGTGACATATGATAAAATAACATCGTCTTGAAGCATTTCTGGTAACTTTAATGCGGAAACTGTGAATATTCTTTTCTGCTTAATTTTTGTTTATAAAGGATAAGTTTACTTGCAAAGGCCGATATTATTGATTTTGTTTTAATAAAGTTGAGATCGTCACCCTGCAGCTGCAAATTAACTTTGTTAAACATACCAAAGATATCAGTCAAGTAATAAATATCTTTTATACAATTGTTCAGATTTTCTTTTAAATACGGATCTTTTTAACCGTTTTCAAAAAAAGAGGAGTTTCTCAATTCGTTTGAATATTTTTTAATGCATGTTCAGCGATAATTCTTTAACAGGGTGTCCGATTTCAATGATTCTTTTTTGTTAGAAAGGGGGTACTTAAGGGGTGGTCCTTTTATAAATTTTGTCAATATCTAATAATTAGGTTCATGAGAAAATCCTCAAACTCTTCATTTTTTATGTATGTTTAGCAATAAGATATGGTGATGGTATTGGCAAGACTTTGAAGTCTGTTTTTTAAAATTAATTTTAATACTTGTTCTTGTAAAAACTCCAACACAGATTTAAAAGTAGCTGAAAATTTTGCTAAGTAGGGGCCTCTTGATAGCCAGCGAACTTTAGTGTGCAGAAGTAACCAAGTAAAGACTTCGTCATTATCCTCACATAGCTGAGCAAATAAACGAGAGTTCAAAGAATTGCTTCGAATCTTTTTGTCAGCATTTATAACATTGTAAAGACTGGTGCATGAATGTGTAGTACTCCAGAATCTAAGGGCACTATATCTAGGAGGATATCAAATAGAAGACGGAGATTTACCTAACTTGAAGCCACTTCAAATCCTACACTTCCTTGAGAAAAGAGGATTGGAAGGGCCGTTATAGGCATTGAGACATTTCCTTGGTGCATTGGCGACAGAAGGGCACAATAGATCTTTTAGGTCGCAGTGTATTAACACCCCATTCCCAACATAACATAAAGACTGGTGCAATCTAGGACTCAAGATTTTTGCTACTAAATGCTGTCTGTGGCTCACACAGTGAATGACCAGTACCTCAGACAGTTGTCACTTTAAGTGAGCTATAATACTGTTCAAAATCACATCATCGAAAACGAGCCTCAAACATTCGGCTTTTTTACTTTCCTATCTGTATGCAGATATACGGAAAGTATAGGAATCATGATTTTTTTCGACCTCGAGTTTTCGACGGATTTTTACGTTTTGAGGTCCCCTGAATCCGTTTTGACTATTTTCGCGATGATGTCTGTCTGTCTGTCTGTCTCTGTGTGTGTGTGTGTGTGTGTGTGTGTGTGTGTGTGTGTGTGTGTGTGTGTGTGTGTGTGTGTGTGTGTGTGTGTGTGTGTGTGTGTGTGTGTGTGTGTGTGTGTGTGTGTGTGTGTGTGTGTGTGTGTGTGTGTGTGTGTGTGTGTGTGTGTGTGTGTGTGTGTGTGTGTGTGTGTGTGTGTGTGTGTGTGTGTGTGTGTGTGTGTGTGTGTGTGTGTGTGTGTGTGTGTGTGTGTGTGTGTGTGTGTGTGTGTGTGTGTGTGTGTGTGTGTGTGTGTGTGTGTGTGTGTGTGTGTGTGTGTGTGTGTGTGTGTGTGTGTGTGTGTGTGTGTGTGTGTGTGTGTGTGTGTGTGTGTGTGTGTGTGTGTGTGTGTGTGTGTGTGTGTGTGTGTGTGTGTGTGTGTGTGTGTGTGTGTGTGTGTGTGTGTGTGTGTGTGTGTGTGTGTGTGTGTGTGTGTGTGTGTGTGTGTGTGTGTGTGTGTGTGTGTGTGTGTGTGTGTGTGTGTGTGTGTGTGTGTGTGTGTGTGTGTGTGTGTGTGTGTGTGTGTGTGTGTGTGTGTGTGTGTGTGTGTGTGTGTGTGTGTGTGTGTGTGTGTGTGTGTGTGTGTGTGTGTGTGTGTGTGTGTGTGTGTGTGTGTGTGTGTGTGTGTGTGTGTGTGTGTGTGTGTGTGTGTGTGTGTGTGTGTGTGTGTGTGTGTGTGTGTGTGTGTGTGTGTGTGTGTGTGTGTGTGTGTGTGTGTGTGTGTGTGTGTGTGTGTGTGTGTGTGTGTGTGTGTGTGTGTGTGTGTGTGTGTGTGTGTGTGTGTGTGTGTGTGTGTGTGTGTGTGTGTGTGTGTGTGTGTGTGTGTGTGTGTGTGTGTGTGTGTGTGTGTGTGTGTGTGTGTGTGTGTGTGTGTGTGTGTGTGTGTGTGTGTGTGTGTGGGTGCGTGGGTGCGTGCGTGGGTGCGTGCGTGCGTGCGTGTGTGTGTGTGTGTGTGTGTGTGTGTGTGTGTGTCTGTATAACGCATAACTCATGAACCGATACACAAAAAAACACCAAATTTTAAACTTAAGCTTTGTTTCAGCGTCCAATGAGCTGATTAGATTTTGGGCAGAGTCGGAACATCTGGGGGGGTACTTTATAGGTGGTCATTTTTATATTTTATGGAATATATCTGTTATTTACGTTTGGAGAAGAAAATTCTTCAAATAAAAGTTACTTCTAATATAATTATCTATAATTTTTGTTTTATGCAAAATTTTCCTAAAATGGTCCGTATTCGAGAAATTTGAGAAAATGTAAAAAAAATAATTTTTTATAAAAATTGTTCAAATAAAAGTTGTTTGTAATATAATTCTCTATAATTTTTATTCTATACATAATTTCTTTAAAATGGACCGTATTCGAGATATTTGAGAAAATGTGTAAATTTCGAATTTTGAAGAAAACTCAAAAACGGATAAAGAAAAAAACATTAAATTTTAAACTTAAGGTTTATTTCGGCCTGACGTGAAATGATTAGATTTTGGACAAAGTCGGAACATCTGGGGGGGTACTTTATAGAAGGCCGTTTTTATATTTTATGGAATATATCTGTTATTTATGTTTGGAGAAGAAAATTGTTCAATTAAAAGTTACTTCAAATATCTATAATTTTTGTGTTTTGTCAAAATTTCCTGAAATGGTCCGTATTCGAGAAATTTGACAAAACGTGCAAAATTCTGATTTTTATGAAAGTTGTTGAACTAAAAGTTGTTTGCGATATCGATTTCTATAATTTTTGTTTATACATGATTTTTCTAAAATGGACCGTAATGGAAAAGTGCTAAATTTAAATTTTTCTGTATTTTCGTTTTCAATGAATATCTATAAAAAAATGTTCCGAGGTAGATGTACGTGTAAAATGTATATATTCAGTTTATCCTCTAAACATTTATAGAGATGCTGCAATAGGTTGTACAAAATAACTAGATAGGAAAGTCATGTGTTGGACACATCAGATTTTTGCTTTGCGGGCCGCCTCTTTTGTCCCAGGTAGATGAGTTATTATATTTTTTCTGGTTCTAGTTGCGGTGTTTCTGGGCGTTTTAGTCCATTTGGTTTTCATATCTCATAAATATTTCGCTCCTCTTATGGTCTGACTCGTTTGATCTGGTATGATTATTACTATGTTGGTCAGAATTGGGTTGATCATATACTTCTTGATCATTATCAGAATCGTACTTGTAGCAACATTCACTTAAATGATCAGCAGGCTCATCATCTGAAATAGAGCCTATGTCTGTTTGAACTTCATCCACTTCATCCCACAATTTTAACAAACTGTAGTTGTTTCTTATACGAAATTTTTTTGGCATAATAACAATAAATCACAATAAACAATTTTATCATGCGACTGGTACACTGGGGTATCACATGCCCAGCGGCTCTTAGCGTGATTCTACAACATACTAATCGAAACTAATCGCTATTTCCGTGGTACCTTGTGTTAGCTGCATGTCTAATTTGAAGGTAGGTGAAGGGGCAAGCTAGAGGTGTACACAGATTATGAATATTGCTCATTTTATTTCAGCCTGGGTATGTCATACCCCGGTTTAACAACGCCGGGTTAAGTGCTTGAAAGAATGACAAGGGCTTACTTTTTTTTATCAACATGTACTCTTGATACGTGCACGGAAAAAAAATTGTAGAACAAATTTCTACAATTGTAGATTTTTTCTCTACAATAAATAGTACATATAGGGACAGGGACAATTTGTAGTAAAAATTTCCAAATATTTGTGGAGAATGTATTGTAGAGTTATTATCTACAATATTTAGTAAAAAGGTCCAAATGCATCACAAGAATTGTTCTACAAATTGTTATAATTTTTGCTATTCATTGTATGAATTTATATTAAAAATGTATTGCGTTTTATGAAAATAAATACGAAAATTTTACACAATAAATAGTAAAAATTCATACAAATTGTAGTAATTTTTAATAAAATTTGTAGTAGTATTCCATAAATATTATAATTATAACCTAGAAAAAAATGTTCCTTAATAAAATATTCAATTTATTGTTTTAATATAAAACATACAAATTCTTAATTACATTATGTAATAAATAACAGTGATAATAGCGCCCTCAGTCTCAGTTGGCTTTTCTGCACCTGAAAAATATGAAATAAAAATTAATACCAATGGGCCCGTTCACTTTTATTTTTGAATGTGAATTATTTATATATTTATAAAGATATTAAACTCTTTTGTCTGGTGGTACTTTTCCTGTTAAGATATGTTTGCTAGAAGTAAGGGAATTCCCATAAAATTCTTTCAGTGACTCATTGCGTCAGAAAACCCCTAATTCTCTTCAAGTCTCGTATCGGTTAATAGTTAAAAGGGCGCGGTTGTCGGATGTATCATTGCACCACCATTCCTCTTCTGCATTTATTAAAGAAATTTACATGATAAAAATATATTATTTTTTAAAAATAATGTGTTTATATTTTCAGATAAAGCTGTAGGCCCTACCTTTTCTAAATTTTAATAAAAACAATTATTAGTATTACTCAAGCTGAATATTACCAGATCGAAATTTTATTTGAGAAAATGTATCTGGTAAACGTGACAACGTTGTAAGTACTT